AAGATGTTTTTTATAAATAGATAATCTCCCGTGGATAGCCTAACGTCTCTTGACAGAAGTCGTTCAGGGATATTTTCACCGTATAAACAATTGGAATTTTTTTTTTCTTTGGCCAATGTCCAATGACAAATTATCAAGTGCCCCCGTACAAAATCCTGTCAAACTTCCCTGTACACATGGCATTACTCTTGTAACCTCTGCTGAATTTATCTCTGGCATTCCCCATCTGCCCAACAGAATAAACACATACGGCAATATCATGCATTTGCCGTTCTTTCTTAAACTTACGATGATTTGACACAATTTAAACCTCCCAAATAAGTGATTGTGCTGGAATAATTCAAAGACAGCCAAAAAAACATATCCACAGCCCTAACGGGCCTAACCACACCCCCTGCTCTCCTTTCATACGTGTGACGATAAGATCACAGGCTAATTGGGAATCTGATCAGAGTATTGACAGTTCACGAGCACGTTCTCTTACGATTAGCAATGCCAATGCCAATGCCGGATTCATTCAGATCCCCACATTTTTCTATTCTTTATTATAAAGTTTACTTTAATTTCAATTCCAGTGCAGATAGCTGGAGACAATCCACTGAACAATCTCAATAAAGTAATGCTCAATTCATGTGCTAACGGATACTCCCCCTTTACTGCCTAATTTTGTACTTCACGTTAATCACAAGTGTTAATATTCTGAATAAATGTGCAGATAACATAATAGGATTGAAACCAAGAAAGATATAGTCAAATGACTCCATCATTCAAAACTATAAGCATAGATATTAGAGAGCACAAATGTAGAGATGATCGAAATGGAATAATTCTAATCAGACGGTCAAGATGAGGAGTTTTAAGGGAGCAGGGATCGAGACCCACAAAAACCCTTTTCAAGTAATTAGATTTTTGAATAATGATATTTATATTAAACTTTAGTTTAGATGGTAGGTACGTGACGTTAAATGATAAATTCATTTGGATACATAGTTACAAGACTAATTTAATTAAACATATGTACTATGAATGTGTGGTCCAATGTCGAATCAGAAATGGCAGCATGCCAGCTAGGCCTCTTTATTAGAAGTGAATAAAGGACATTATGCTGGGTCACCGACAACTGAACTCCATAACAAACAACTCTATTGATAGAGATTTACCATTCTTTCCCTATCTAACACATGGAGCTGCAGCATGATTTTAAAGGGGACACCTACACCGGAGAGTGAGGGAGAGGCAGGGGGTTGAGGTTGGGGTGCGGTGGGAGTATAGCAACTAACAATTATTCACAGTCAGATAATTGAATAAAGCTAGACGAATATTTCAACTCGATACTTCTCTAAGTGGAGACATTTGACCAGTGATGGAATTAAATTTAAATATAGTGATCGATAAATGTGGTTCTGCGTCTATACGGTTTTCTGTTGAATGGGTTGCTTGGCAAGGTTTTTGATTCTTGTGGAAGAGTTTTACGAAAAAGTTATCTTAGATCAATGTAACTTTCTCTAAAAATTCTTATAGTCATATGAAGTACTTCCAAAAAATAGTTTAAATATATTTGAAGTAATTTTTTAATTTCAAAAACAAAGTTATTACCAAAAAGGCTCTATATCAATTCATGTAAGCAAATAATACACCTAGAATATGCTAGTGATAACAATTTATGGGTCACAGTATAATGAATGAGAAAATAGCCAAGTAATGCAAATAATGCAAGAAAAAATTGAATGCCAATGAGAAAGAAGTTGGAAACAGAGCAGATTGACATGTAATAAACAGATTATCAAGAAAGATCGCAGCCTTAGAATAATAGAAAATATTGTCGTCATTTCCTAATTTTTACAATAATAGAAAAAAACTCAATAATTGAAAAACTAAAGTAAACACATCACTGAATGCAAACAGGTAATAGTACGCCAGTGCATCTAATGTTGCATTACTTAGGAAATGCTACATGTTTAATTCAATGAACCGCATCGGTGGCGCGTGGACTACACCGAAGGCAAATAACAGGACGTTCACATGCACAACTCTCATGCCCGCTAAAATCATCATGATTGAAAAGAGGAAGAGACTTTTTGAAAGGCAGAAGAAATGGAGATTTTCATATCGCTTTCATATAAGCAAAACAAGACCATGAAAAAGGGGAACGAACTTCTTAAATGACTCATTACAATGGAGAAAATCTAGCATTATTTTTTGGAACAAATCAAAGAAAAACAAAGAGATTCCCACTCCCCCATCTATGTACATAAAGCAGTCTAAAAATTTCCCAGGAAAAACAGCAAAAAGACCTCCCTAATCACTGTCAAAAACTCAAGCATCAACATTAAAAGAAAAAAGAGGGGAAAAAAACAGAACGCTAGAAATCCAGGTTAGAAGGTAAAAAAAAAAAGTGAAGTGTTACCGCAAAACATGCTTTCCATCTCTCAAGTTCACTCCGTGCGGTTCTTTGCTAGGACTTTGTTGTCGCCGCCACTATCTTTCTTCTGTTGCGAAGAAAATAAGCCAAAAACACCATATTTCGACGAGCCTCGAAGTGAACAAACCGGAACATTCAGAACCGGAGTAATACGGACATTAGCTGAATAAGACCTCTCCATTCCTCGATGTTTGTATCTGGGGCCACCATTAAAACTGCTCGGACTACTGGAACTTCTCTCCAAGCTATTAAACACGACTTTACCAGAAGAATTCATGCGAGGACTATCCGCTGAAACTCCACACGCTTGTGCAGTAGGCTCCGGTGCTCTGCGCATTGGGCTACGCACCACTCGAGTTGCCGTATTAGGGTTCTCTGAAGATAATGCCCTAGGTCTACCGACTCGAACTTTGGAATGAGTGTTTGCCTTCCGGTGAGAGCTACGGGAGAGAGGACTCGGTTCATCGGAATCGAGAGAGAGCCTTGGGAGATCATCGTGCTCGTGACCTGATGAAGAAGACGAAAGTGAAAGCCGAGAGGAAATTGAGACCGGCTCATTGTCCATATCCTTCAATAATGGGAGGCTTAAAGATAAATCAATGGATGCATTTACTGATGATTTTGAACTGCGGTTGAGAAAGTGCTTCAAGCTTCTGGCCGCATTTTTACTATTGTTGTGATTGGATGCTGATGCCGCCTTTTGATCTTCTGGCTTTGCATTGCTGTTTTGGTAGAGTTTTTTCAGGCCTAGAAGATCTTTCCAGCGGCTCGAACACCTGGGAGCTTTGGGGGAAAATAAGTAAGGATCTGTAAGAGAAATCTCATTTCTAATGCGTAGTTTTGGCGTGTCCGGCGATCTGACCTCAGATATCGTCGGCACTGACCTCATTGATTTCTGAATGGAAGATAGCTGTAATGGCCTGAGCTTCCCATCGGAGAACAACTCGTCGGCGGGGAGCATTGTGACCGGATCTTCTAGCCGGAACTCAAAATCCACAAAAGCCTCGCCAGATACTTCTGGATCTGATTTTTCCAACATCTCCAAAACTGCATTATCCGATGGAGCTTCAGTTTTAGCTGGAGCCTTAACTATGGCAACTTTTGACGCCTCCTCATCGGGTAACTCACGTTTGAACGAGATCCTCGGACTGTGCCACCCGTACGACGGATACTTGGAAGGAGAACATTCCAGAAAATTCTCCGACGACATTCCGATGTTATTCACGCATGCTGAGGCCATCTCCGGCAATCATGCAACTCTATATATTACTAACACAAATAAAATCACCAGCAATATTAAAAAACCTCTCACAAAAAACAGAAGAAAAATTATTCAATCACCTGCAACACTCCAACCGAAAATTTCCTGTTTCGCGGGTACTTAACGAGAGTGATACAGAAATGGAGCAGAATTCTGCAGTTAGTTAGGGTTTGGATACAGAATGTGAATAGTGTTGTTTTGTGTCGTATGTGCTGGCTTTGAATGGGGGTAATATAAATAGCAGAAGACTTCTGGTGACGTGGCTTGAAACGGGTCAATGTTGGAACTCAATGAGAATTTGAAAGGGGGGCCATTTCGTCAATATATCAGGTGACGTGGCTTGAAGAGCGGGAAGAATAGGCTGGTTTTTTGAGAGACGTCATTGGTTTCAGGTGATAATAAATTCGTCATTGAAAAAAAGATTTTTCTTTTTTTACCAATTCGGTAAAAAAAAATTCCATTCACTTCAAAATTCAAATATCTAATCTTCCCGATTTAGAGCCTGTTTGGAAAATGTGTGGTTAAAAAATAGAAAAAATTTTGATATACGTATAAAATATTTTATTATGTTAATGTGTAGTTAAAAATGATCACGTAACAAACCATAAAATAAATTAATGGATGCCAAACATGTACTTAAAAGAATTGGCTTCTTTTTCAATTCATCTTATACATATTAAGCTTCTGTGTGAGAAGAATAGGGTGGGAGTAGAATCGAAACCTGAATTATCCTCTCCGTCTTCCGTGCTAGGAAAAAAAACTTAGGAACGAATGGTGGAACACGATAGCACGAGAGGGGATTAAAACGTTCTCTTTACTTATTTATTTAGCTTTAAATATGATTTAAATTTAAAAAAAGAAAAGAAAAAAAAAAGATTCGGAGAGGGACAATGTTTGTAACATTCCAATTTTTTTTTCATGTTAATCGTTAAATATTATAAGGGTACGTAACCATATGGGACTCCAACCTTTGAGCCTTGAGATGATGGGGTGTTTTGATTTCTTGCCATCAAGATTCCAAACCTTTCAAATGTGTACGCTTGAGATCCTTTTCTGATGAAAATCGTCGGTTTGACCATTGTATAGTCAAATTTTGAATAAAATAGCTATTGTACCCTTATTTTCTTTTAAAAAGAGAAATCATAAAATAAAGAGTGAATACAAATTGAATCCCAACCCCAACACCCGAAACCCATATAAAGAATGAGTCGCATCCTTGATAGTCCCCACCTGTCATGCTCTGGGCCTCGATAAAGGAGGTAAATCGCAAATTATGCCTCCAAAGATATAGGGTGGAAGACTGCTTGTACACTTGCATTTACCTAAGGGCCAATCCGTATTTCAGGATTCGAACCCTTGACGCGACAGCCTCAAACAAAGCTGGAGTTTTTCCACATTTCCCTTTTACCACTTGGAGATGTGCCCTGGGGGCACCCGAAACCTATATAAATCATTAAATTTCGTTGGCTTCATTTACAATTGAGACCTGTAAAGAATAACCACCTTCAATTTCAAGAAATAGATGATTGAAAAGGCCAATTATGTAAACAAGGCATTGGATGATGAAGTTTAAGTAAAAAAAACCCCCCACAAAAGATCCAAGAAGCCGTTTTAAAAGAGAGGGGAGGTGTTGGGGTGTTTCAAATTTTATTTTTATTTTTATTTGTTTTTATGATTTTGTCTTGTTCTTCATTGTTTTTGAAAATATGAACAAGCTGTGTTTGATGTGCATCTCCAGGGTGAATAGGTGATTATGTTGAATTAATAACTTAATAATTAATTAGTAACAAGTCACTATTAATTATTTCTCAATGATTAATCAAACAGTCAAATTTTCTATGTTGAAATACCACAGTTATATGAAAGAAATAACCAACACAAAAAATGATCACAGAGAAACCTCAACTGTATAAAAAATTTCGGCATTTTGCCAGTCAACAATCCAGTATAAACAAATTAAAACTTACAGTCCGTCATACTCGACTACCATTAGTACTTTCTGATATCCTGACCGCATTTCAAACAGCTCTCCTGGGTTTTGTGCTCCTGCACTAACTCCCAACTGCAGTTTTCAAAGCTTTCCTGTATTGCACACACATACACATCAAGTTCTACATATGATAGGTGGAGTTGATTTGATTTTGCACTTTTTGAAATTGTTCATTTTGTTGATTACTGAATTCTGATCACGAGACACGGCAGGCTGTTAAACCATGTTTTGTTTAGAGTTAAGTTATCATCTTGTTTGAGGACAAACAATAGTCTAAGTTTGGGAGAGTTGATAAATGCATTTTTCTAACGTGTACTTAGTTACATTACATGACTAATTGTTGGCATAAATGCTTAAATATGACTTAATTCAACATAAATTGTATTTGTAGGACTATAATGATGAACGTGGTGAAAATTCAGAAAAACAAGGGAAAATGGCTTAAATGAAGCAAAAGCAAAGTATGAGGACCCAATTGTAAATATTGAAAAGTTATGTCGGTCCCACGATGAAGATTTGAGAGTGTTGGGTATCAATTGGATGAGGAAAGAAGCCAAAGGGATGAAATAGAGTCGAAGTACTATCACAATTCAACTTCTAGTCGAAAAAGTTATACTTTGAATTTTCTGTCTTAATTTGAGACCAATTTTTGACATAGAAGACGTTAGAATTTGAAGATTGATATCTCTGGAAGATTTGTATCCCTTTAAGTAAGCTTTCTAACTCATTTTAAATCACCTCAATTGGATATCGGAAGAGAAAGATATAACCAAAATACGGAAAACTATCCGGCCGGAAAAAAGTGAAAACCAGGCGGTCGCATGGTATAAAGTCCATGCGGTCGCCCAGACTGAATCAATGGATTTTTTGGACCAGTTGAGTTGTTCCATGCGATTGCATGGTTTATAACGATGCGGTCGCATGGAACAAGTCCGGTGCGAAATTTTTGGTTTCCTTATTTGAATCAAACATTTATGGCAACGCATCTAATACTTCTTTATAACCCTAATTACATCCAAAAATGAGGGGAACGCATTCTTAGGGAGAAAAACACCATTGAAGAGCAAGGAAGATGGGGAGAACAGGGGATTTCATTCAAGATTTAAACTTTCAACCCTAATTCTTAGTTTTTAGGTGATATCTTCTCTTTATTATTTTTCTTGTTCTTTATTTTTTATTCATGCTAGGCTAAAATTTTATTGTACTAGGCGAACGATGAATCTCGCATTTTGATCTTTTAATTTCTATTTTGCAATTTGATATTTAAATATTTTTGATGGATGTTGAGTGATTTATATACACTTTCTTACCTCCATGATTATAGTGCAAGGTAATTGTGTGAGTTTGAGTGATTTATTTTATGCAATCGAAAGAAGGAAAATAAACTTAATAAGGTATAAATCATCGTTTTGTTCATAGAGGATAAAAATATTCTGATATGCATTACGTGAATCTTTAAGTGTTTACAAAACGTCATGCATTCTTATATATTGCATTTGTCATAGAAATATAGTCAAATGGTATGCAAGAATATGTTCAATTCTACTCGAAAGAGATTGTTTGATAAGTTAGAAACATTGATTCTTCAACCAATTCATCGTGTTATCGAATTGTGAAATAGGGGTTAAAAAGGAACTTTGCTTGGTGATTCGGGATCCTAGTGCGCTTTTTCATACATTAAAGAGATTGTTGGATATGTTAGAAACATTGATTCTTCAAAACGATTCATCGTGTTGTCAAATTGCGAGATAGGGGTTAAGAGTGAACTTTGCTTGGTGATTCGGGATCCTAGTACGCTTTTTCATACATTAATTTCTTCAACCTTTTTCATTCAAGATCATTTAACATTTATTTAGTAACCTGAGTTTAAATTTTAGTCATAGTTTAACAATAAAATTCAAATCATCAACTATTTTGAGTTAAATAGATTCGGTTAAGGTCTTGGTAATAGAAATCAAATTAAATCAATCATCGTGGGACGATACTCGAAATTTTACAATTTTCACTTTATTACTTATTAACGAACCGTGCACTTGCGGTGATTTACAACGCGAACATATTTTTGTGAACAAGTGGTTTGCGGGCTACTGCACATGGAGCGGTGTTTACTTAGTGAGCATTCACAGTAATCGGGCATCCGCCCCTTCGAGGTGGTCAGGGCCTCGCGACGGGTAGCGGCTGTAGGTTCCTATATCAACAAAAAGATTTACTAAAAAAATTGATTTTAATCCTCATCAAACAGGACTTATAGCATACAAAAACTCAGTCAAGCCAAATCTCGTTATATAAAAATGAATTACAAAAATTGATTGATCGTTCACTTTTTTAATGTTTTTACAGACAATGTTGATGTATAAATTGATTGCTAGTTAATTTAGTCATTTACATTGGTAGATAGGAGGTTAGTTTAGACATTTCATTCTCATCTTTTCCTCTATAAATGAGGTGCATTCCATCCGGTTTGCGCTGTTAGAATGATAAAAGATTTTCCCTCCAAAAGTTCTCCTCTCTCCCTATCGAATTATTCTTTATAATTTCATATGGTATCAGAGCATTGAAGCTTCGCTGCAATGGCGTCACGAGGATCATCTGTTGGAGATTTGATTAGTGAAGATGCAAGTTCCATTACCAATCGATTAATCACATATCCAAGCAGTCCTTATTATCTCCAATAGGACGATAACACAGGTATGCATCTCATCTCTATCATGCTCACAGAGGATAACTATGCGACGTGAAGTCACGCTGCTATCATAGCACCGAGTGTCAAAAATAAAGAAGGATTCATTGATGGTTCAATAGTTAAACCGAATTCTGATGATCCACTATATAGCACATGGAGAAGATGCAATCACGTGGTGTCTTCATGGATCATTAATTCAATCCCAAAGGAACTTTNAATTCCAAAAGAGTTATATCCTAGCGTTATGCACAAGGATTCGGCAAGGGAGATATGGACGAGCTTCGGGATCGCTATAGCCAAAGTAAT